GTGAAACGTTCCAATCTGTGGCCAAATCTTGTTGATTCTACCTCCACAGAATCTCTTATGCAACCCTTCTCATATGGCCAACCCCTTCGCTGTTCAAGCTGTTCCCTGTCACCTGGCCTACTGTACTAGCCCGATTTGTCTCCTGACCTCTCCAAACTATCCTCTGCTCAGTTGCCAAAGTGATTTTCCCATAGCACTGGTCTGACCAAGTTAGTCCTCTACTCAATCATCTCCAAAGGCTCCCTTCTGTTTGGCCTTTAAAGCACATGACCACCTGGCCTCAAATTACCTTTCCAGTTCTCCCACTTCACCTCTGCCTATTTCTTCCTTAAAAACGGAGCACAAGGGTGTCCTTCAGTGTGAAACACTTTCTTTCTCTTAACCCCTTTACTGCCTTTGTCAACTTGAATAGAAGCCCTCTAAGGGCAAAGACTTTTACAGAGTATCTACAGCACCTAACAGAGTGCTAGACACACAGTAGACACTTAATGACTATTGATGGACTGGTAAACTGCAAAGAAAACATATCAAAAAGTGCTTGTTTAGGAGAGGGAGAGATGACAGTGAACAAAGGCGACCAACTTTACAAAGAAGATGGGATTTCATCAGAGCCTTGAAGGATGGATAGGATTCAGAAAGAGGAGGGCAGTCAAGATGAGTGAGAGGGTAAAGAGGGGAAAATATACTAAGCTGTTCTGATTAAATAGACCTGGCTGGTTGGGCCAGAGCTTGAGAGAAGAGTATCTAGAGAGACTGTTGTAAGGCCAGACAGACAAGTCCCACAAAAGTAAGGCTACAGATGATAAAATATGATACCTTTGCTCAAAGAGCTTCCAGTCTATTTGAGGAAACAAAACTAACATGAATATTCTTTGCAAGCAATTCCAGAGATTACATAAGCACAAAATTTTGTAGTAGTCAGAACATCTAGATGCTATACCCCATTCTATAATTATACACTTATATATAATTATATAATCCTATTATACAATCCTGACCAAGTCACATCAACTCTGGGTCCTCAGTTTCCTTATCTATAAAATGAGAAGGTTAGAATAGCTCTGAAATTTTCTAACTTTGTGACTATCAAAATGCTATTAGAGTTTGGAGGGATCCCATTCCTTTGAAGAGGTAGAAGGTCCACACACACGTATTTTCTGACTTTTTCAATGTATTGTTCAGTTTTACTGATTTTTCCTCCCTCTTCTTCTTCTTTTAAGATATTATTTGTTATACAGAACTGTTTTCTGGAAAGGGAAGAGATATTGGGAGAAATTCTGGAGAGAAATTTGTGTAAAAACAAAACATACCAATAAAAACATTTTTCAAAAAGTTTGGAGGGAACAGAGATCAGTGAAAGTCAGGAACTTATTCCTGACACAGGGAGGAAATGTGAATTAAATTGGGCCTCAAGGAATGGCAGATGTTATAACAATACACTCATCTTAAAACATTCCCTCAATCCACCAAATTAGTAATCCTCTGAAAAACAGGAATAGTATTTGTTTAGCATCATTTGCTCCGAGTGAATCCATGCTGACTTCTACCACACTACTTCTTTTTTCTAAAAGTCACAGATATTGGTTTGATCATCGGAGAAGTATTTGATTTAATTTCTGTTACCATTTTGTAAATTCTCCAATTTTACAAGAGTCAACAAGTTTAGAGGTTTGTAGTTTATAGAATTCATCCTTTTATGGAAAATGAGGGTAACAAAGGTCCATCTCAAACCTCTTGATTATCATAATTTCTCAACAGATTATCAACAGAAGCTCTGAGATCATGTATTCAAGTTCCTCTGACACCCTGACATTTCATTCATCTGCCTCAGGAGTCATAAATTCATTTTAAAACAGATTTTTTCTTACTATCTCAATTATTTTGTGTTTCAATTTCCTCTTACCATCATTTGTGTTACCCTTTCTAGCTTAAAAAACTATTCTCCTTGATGCCTAATAATAAATAATACCTATGCTATATAGTTCTACTTTTTTTTCCCAAAAGTTTTCAGTATATTCTCTCATTCTTCATCTTAACTATATGAGGTAGGTGAGGCAGTTATTACTACCCCATTCTGTAGAAAAAGAAATTGATGCAATTTACCTTGCCCTTTATCATACAGATATAACTAACAGCATCTTAAGAGTTGGAAGAGACTTTAGGTAGAGGTTAACCTGGCCAAATTCTCTTGTTTTGAAGATGAATAAACTGAAGGCCAGAGACAGAGCAGCACAACGGAAGGAGTGATGAATTTGGACTTCAGTGAAAACCTCAGTTCTGCTGCTCACCAGGGGCAGTTCAGTAACACAGTAGATAGAGTGCTGAGCTTGGAGTTAGGAAGACCTGGGTTCAAGCCTTCTCTCAGACACTTACTGGCTTGTGAAACCCTGAAAAAGTCTCTTAACCTTCCAGCTCTCTCCAAAGTTATCAATGATCTTTCAATTGCCAAATCCAACAGTCTTTTCCCAATCCTCTTCCTTCTTGATCTCTCTGCAGCCTTTGCACTAATGACCACCCTCTTGATACTCTTCTCTCTAGGTCTTCATGACATTGACCCCTCCCGGTTCTCCCCCTCTAATTTTGACTGCTCCTTTTCAGTCTCCTTTGCCAGATCCTCATCCAGGTCATACCCACTAACCATGGGGATTTCCCAATGCTCCATCTTGGGTTCTGTTCTCTTTACATATTATTTTGCTCAGTGATCTCTTCAGTCCCCATGATCTACTGATCATCTCTATGCAGATAATTCTGTTCAGCCCTAACCTCTCTTCTGACCATGGGTATTGCATCTCCAATTAACTGCCTCCTGGAGAGCTGGATGTCTTCCAGACATCTTAAGTTCAACACGTCTAAAACGGAACTCATCATCTTTCTCCCAAAATTCTCCTTAACTTCCCTATTACTGTCAAGGGTACCATCATTTTCCCAGTCACCCGCGCTCACAACCTTGTGTCATCCTTGACTCCTCACTCTCTCACCCCCCAAATCCAATCTTTTTCCAAGTTCAGTCATTTCAACCTTCATAACATCTCTCTTATAATGCCCTCTTCTCTCCTCTAACACTGATAATGCCATGGTGTCAGCTCCCATCACCTCAGGCCTGGACTACTTTAGTAGCCTTCGGATTGATCTCCTGCTTTAAGTTTCTCCCCACTCCAGTCTATCCTCCACTCAGTTACCAAGATGATCTTCTTCAAGAGCAGATCTCTAGTCGATAAACTCCAGTGGCTTCCCATCACCTCCAGGATCAAATATAAAAATCCTGTTTGGTTATAAAAACTAACCTTATCCTTTCTAACCTTTCTACCTTTTTTAACCCCTTACTCCTCCTCTCCTAGCACTGTGCAACCCAGTGACAATGATCTCCTTGGTGTTTCTAGAATGACACTCCATATCCACACATTTTCCCTGTCTGTCCCTTATACATGGAACTCTCTTCTTCCTCATCTCTACCACCTGGGTTTCCTTAAATCTCAGCTCAAGTCCCACCTTTTACAAGAAGCCTCTCTCAGGCCTCCTTGACCTGAGTCCCTTTTCTTTGAGAGGACCTCCAATTTATCCTGTGTATATCTTGTTTGTAAGTCTGCATGTTGTCTTCTCTTAGATCTTGAGCTCCTAGGGAGCAAGGACTGGTTTTTTTTTTTCCTTTCTTTGTATCCCCAGGGCTTAGAATATCTGCCCAGAACACAGTAGGTGCTTAATAAATGCTTCTTGGGTTTCCCTTGGTTTCCTCATTTGTTAAAAAAAAAAAAATAATAATAATAATAGCACCTATCTCACAGGGTTGTAAAGAAGATCAAATGACCTAGCACATGTAAAATGTTTTGCAAACCTTAAAGTGCTTTGCAAACCTTTATGGTACCAGTGTGATAATAATAAAAAATAGCCAGCATTTCTATAGCCCATTAAGGATAGCAGAACACTTTAAAAATGCAAACCATTTTAACTTTGCTGGGCCTCAGTTTTTTCATCTGTAAATTAAGAGGGTCAGGGGGCAGTTAGATGGCTCAGCGGACAGAGCACTGACCCTGGAGTCAGGAGGACCTGAGTTCAAATCTGGTCTCAGACCAGACACTTGACATTTACTAGCTGTATGACCCTGGGCAAGTCACTTAACTCCAATTGCCTCGCCAAAAAAAAAAAAAAAATAGGAGGGTCAGGATGGTCCTAGAGGTCTAATAGAAAATTCAATTTCCCACTCCAGTAATTACTAGCTGTGTGACAATGGGTAAATCACTTACCCTGTGAGTCTCCCTTTAAAATGGTGATGACAACACAAACTACCACCTCACTGGGCTGCTGTGATGAAAGTCCTCCGTAAACCATAAAGCACTATAGAAATTTGAATGATCATGACTGATTTTCCCAATGTTATATGGTTACTTTAAGTGGTAAGAATAAACATGAGAACTTGTCTCCTCCCACCCCAGTATTCCATGCTCTCTCCCTGAAAAAAAAATTTAAGTATCAACCCACAACTCTTATCATAAAACAATGTTGCCTGTTGAAGCCAGACTACTTAAGAATAAATCTGACAATATGCCCAGTAGAATTTGATCCACTTCTTTACTAATAAAGTGCTATTCTTCAAATGTCTCAGGGAGATTTACTTTAAATCTAGAAAAACAAAGAGAGCCCAAGGGGTTCTAGAATCTAGGACAATGGACTTTAGTGATAGAATGAGTTCTATCACTATGTCTCTAAATAAGTCCCAGAGTCCTTCATAAGAAAAAGAAGCCTGTAAGATTCTCGCTTCCTGAAGCAGGGAGGTCAGTAACACCAACCCAAGAAGTTAATTAGGTGGCATGGCAAGTCACCTTCCGAGGGACACCCAGGTTAGAGCAATTTTATATGCAGGTTCTCCCTTGACCAATCAAGCATCCCACTGCAATCCTTAACTTGGAAAACAGCTGAGTGTGCATGCGTGCCACCTTCCCCCTGAAATTAGAAGCCACATATTTCAAAAGATTACAATAACTGCTCTATTTTTTGCTACTCACAAAGTTCGTGAAGCTTCAACCATTTCCGGCTTCTCCCAGCTGGAGTACCTGCAATTATGAAAACATTCACTAGGGCAGGTCTACTTAAGAAAGATGAGCTCATCTCTTCAGACATACACCTGATCTTCAGGAAGCTGCCCCTCCTACAGTAAGCAGGTCATGGTAGCTTTAAAGGGACACACACAAGCTGGGCTACTCTTCATCCTTCCTGGGACATGAGTGATAGTGGAGAATCGCCTCAGCCACTTCACTGCCCTTCTACTACAAACAAGCAGAATATCATCACACTTGCTAGCTGCTGCTCTGGGGTGTGCTAAGATGGCTTCTTTGGGAAAACCATTTAAAACTATATAATGTAGGTCAAGTCCTTTGCCACCCTCCTATTCTTACTCTTCTTTGTATATTTATATCTACAGCACCTAGCACAGAGCCTGGCACATTAATAAATGCTTGTTGATTGATCTCCTTCCTCACATTAAAACCTCATTCTTAAAGAATCATTCTTCTTTTTAAAATTCACAGCTAAGTTTAATAATTTGAATAAAACCTGCCCACATCTTATTTCTTTAGTCAGCACATAGGACTGTCAGGAGTCTTATCATGGAATTTTGTCAGACAGCTCAGTGACAGAATCATAGATTTAGGGCCCAAAGGTACCTCAGAGGTCTAGTCCACAAGTGTCAAACAGGCAGCCCATAACACTCCTGAACGCAGCCCAATCCAGATTAAAATGTAATTAGGAAATATTTAACAAAATGAATAAAAACACAATAAATTACAAATGAAGTTAATATGCAGCTTTCTAAGTCAATAATGCAGCCCACAAGGACCCTCGTGTACAGTTTTGCGGCGCTTTTTTCTATTTGAGTTTGACACACCTGGTCTGGTACGACTCCCACTCCCATCCCACCTCCCACCATTTTATAGATGAGAATGAGTGATTAAAAAAAGCTAAGGGACTTGCCCAGGCCTCATGGGTTAATAAGTGGCAGAGCCTCAGATCAAACTCAGATCCTTTGGCCTTAAAGCAAGCATTACATGCACTGCTTTAAGCTAGAGTATATGCTTCAATTCCACTATCTCTAAAGGAATATTTTTTTACTCTGATAAAACACATTTTACTAGAAGTCAAAGGTTAAGTAATCCTTAAGTCTTATTTCATTTCAAATAGTTGTAAATGGAATACTAACTATCTTCCACCAGACAAATTTCTCTGATATAGTGTCAGTGTTGGCTTTTCAAGATCCCCCCCAAAATATTCATTAGACACTGTAACATTTATACCTATGTTTTGGTAGATTAATGGCTGACCTGAGAATGCAGGAGAGGAAGAAAGTGCATCAAAACCAGTCTAACCAAATCACCATAAGACTTCTAGTGAGATTCACTATAAATTCAGCTCTCAGACTCATTTTTCCTCCTTCCCTCAAAAATACTGTCCTGCTAGTAGCTAGATGCTTACTGGGAAACACTTGGCAAGAAACAAGTTGATCACTCTCATCTGACCAGCCAGTAGGTTTCTGGAGGCAGAACAAAAAGCACATGACACTACTGGGGCTTTTCATAAAAAGACTCAACCACAACAGTTGTAGGCCTCAAATACTAAGTATGGTGGTCTAGAAATCTATTCTAACAAGGGGACAAACTAGTTATTAGGCCTTTTTAACTGTTCAAGACTGAAGCACAAAAGATGGGCAAAACTAACTATATAACCTCTCATTTTAGAATTCAGTTTTCAAATATATTTCATCAGTAACTTTTATGCATAATTCTAGGGCACCTACTATGGTCCAATAAAATCACCTTATGGATTTCACTGCCTTTTTTATTTATGAAGGTGAAGAAATAAATTAGAAATAAATGATAAACAATTCTTTCAAACTAAAACTTCTTGTATTCTAACCAGACTTTTTTCCCTTTAATTTAAACCAATATAATATTTGGACCCATTTTTAAGATTAGAATAAAAGCAATAAATAAATCTTTTAGAAAGGCTTCACATCGCACGGATTTTTTGAAACTGAAGTTTGGCATATCAGCTGCAATTCTAACATACAATACCCTGAGATCTATAGCTCAGGGAGGCTTCTTATGCCTTACACTCACTCACAGTGCCCACCTGAGGCTCAGGAGTAGAAAAGGTAAGTATTCTGATAGGAGCCAGCAACAATCAATGTTATACTGTTATGGAATTTTAGACCTGGAAGGAGCCTTAGAGGTCATCTTTGTAAAGATGAAGCTGAGACTCAAAGAGGTTAAAGGATTCCCCATAGGAATTCTCCACGGGTAGTGGCAGGACCAAGCCTGGAACTTACTACAAAATAGCTAAGGTCTGGGAGTGTTTGATGGACAGGAAATGAAAATACTTTACTATTCATTCAACCATTAAAGATTACTCACCTTTAATTTCTCAAATATGTGCCTGGTTGCATTACCAAAACAAGAAACCCTGCCAGCATCCTGAAAGATCATACATAGCTCAGCCAAAATAAGCTCTAAAACTTTATGGTTTTTCCTTAAAGAGTTTGTGGCAAACAGCTCCTCCCAGCTGTAACTTGATTTCTTTTTTTTTTTAATTTATCATTTATTTTTAATATTCTTTTCTTTTTAAATTTTGAGTTCCAAATTCTCTCCCTCTCTCCCACCCCTCCTTCACCCACTGAGAAGGTAAGCAAAATTATATCAATTATACATGGGAAATCAGGCAAAATATATTTCTATATTAGCCACATGGCAAAAATAAATAAGGAGAAAATTATATTTCAATTTGCACTCAGAGTTCATCAGTTCTCTCTGGAGATGAATGTTATTTTTTCATCATGAGTCCTCTGGAACTACCTTGGATCACTGTATTGATCAAAGTAGTCAAGTCTTTCACAATTGATCATCATTACAACATTGCTGTGTAACTTGATTTCTTGAGCCAATGAAAGTGGGGAAAAAATAAGGGGAATAACTGGTTCCCTTTTCCACCTTGGAGGTGGTCAAGTTGAAATGGTATTCCAGAATATGTGGAAAATAAAGTCATCGTCTGTGACAAAATGGAGTGCCATGCTCAGTCTCATTCCTGAATAGATATTAGATTCCCAATTCATGGCCACCACCCAAGAGGTAAATGAGCATATGCAGACTATCAAAATCTTTATCCCTCAGTCCCAGCACCTCAGTCTTCTCCAGCTCTACTCTGTTCCATCTAGCCACTTAAGTCTAGCACACAGGGATGATTCAAGTACTTAACTAAGCATGACAGAATTAAGAATACCAGACAGTTAAGGTGGCCAGTTATTAAGTTCATTTGGCTTAGGTTTAAAGCTCTAAACGTTTCATACTTTACTGTTATTATACCAAAGTCTAAAGGGCCCACCATTATGTCATACACTATGGAGCCATTCTGACTCACCAATCTTACCAGGCCCAGGTTAAGCCTGACTTCTGATCTTCCGAGCTGTGCAAGACACTTAGATTTAATTTCCTGGCTTGCTTCCTGGAAGTACCTGGTACTTCTATATATCATAAGTTTTTCGTCGAGGATAGGGCTCAGACACGCCCTATAATAGGCAGGCTCAGACATGCTCACACAGTTAGTCTACCTTAAACACAGCATGAAGCTCTGGAGAAGGAAAAAAAAGATAGCTATCTCAAAACAAAACAATTAACATTGAATATCATCCTGTTTGGGTCTCAAGTTCACAATCTTGACTTCTAGTCAAATCTATTCTAAATTTGTTTCCAGATACTGCCCTGGGGATCAAATATAAACTCTTCTGTTTGGTATTTAAAGCCTTTCACAACCTAGACCCAAACTACCTTTCTAGTCTCATCATACATTACTCCCCTTCCTACACTCTACAATCCAGTCAAACTAGCCTTTGCCTTCATGCTGTTCCTCACACACGATATTCCATCTTCCATCTCTGTACCTTTGCACTGGCTAGTTGCCAAGATAGATAAGTAACTAAGGCATTTGTAATTGGGGACTGGCCAATGAGAGCCTACTCCAGTGAGTATGTACAAAACATGGGAGTCTGGTGAGCCTACTTCTAGACAAATGTCACGATCTGGAATGAAGGGGGTGAAGAAAAGGCCTCTGCTTGGATGCTGAATCAGAACTGAGTTGTCCATACAAAAGACTTCCTGGCAGCGATTGAGAGAAGACATGCTTTAAGCCTTTGAGTCATTGGGACTTCATCTGCCCAACAGGTCCATGGCTCTCCTTTTGCTTTTGTCTCTGTTGTATCTATTCTTTGCTACTCTTATGTGAAGGAGCACTGGACAGGGCTTCTATCTTATGAGCTCTGAATGGTCAGAAGATTTTTCAAACTCCATCCTAGAGTCTGCCAGCAGCCAAGCCCAGTAAGTTTCAGGGACCTTTTTGAAGAGGACCAGACACAGGAGTCCATGCAAGAGTTTGATAACAGCCAAGTATAATGAAAAGCAACCTGTTTCACATACCACAGTAGGGGATCAAGAGCAAACCAAGAGAGAATGACTTGGCCATCTAAACTTGGTGTGGCACACTTTGTATCAGCCACTTTAAGTTTGAGTCCACTCTTCCCAGAAATCAAGATGGCATAGAAGAGATATCCCTGATACAGGGGGATGTTTTATACTTCTATTCAGTAAACATCGCTTTTGTAGAAGCTAATCGACATTAATTGGTTATATGATATTGAGGAGCTAATAGATAATACTGAGATTATTAAATATAACTGGCAACTGATGTTGGGAAGATACACCGGAGACTGAGCTTTAGCCAAAAGCATCATAGAGAATAACCCAAATCCTTAAAGGGTACCTGCTAGAATCCTGAGAGATGCTGCCCTCTGAGACTCTGGGGAACCAACTTACCCCTCCACAGAAATGAAACAATAAAAAGAGAAAATGGGGACAAGGGACCCCCAGAGCTTATATGGCTATAGATTTATTTAGCACTTACTGTTAACCAGGTGCTAGGCTAAGTGTTGTGGATAAAAATATAAGCAAGCAAGACAGATTGTAACGAGGGAAGACAGCACATAAAGGGGAGACAGAAAGAAGAAGTATTTGAG